TTTTTTTTTGTTTTTTTTTTTTTTTTTTTTTTTAATAAATTCCTCCACCCTCCTGATGCAGATTCAAAACATGTTATTAAATTCAATCAAAACCAGCGTTTATTGGCAAAATGAGTCCTTACCTGCAGGACCTGCACGTCTCTTTTCAGTGCTTCAGATTCTTCGGTTATGACTGACCTGTCAATCAAACAAGACCTTATTTTGTAAAGGATCAAGTCTATATATGTAATCTAAATCAATTTTCTTTTAAGGCCAAGGAATCTTACATATGTCGGGGTCTGGTATTCATTTGCTCACAATGAGGTCTTTTGTTCTGATGGAGGGATAGATTGGACTGCTCGCTTCAGTTCCCCTCCCTCCATCTAAATACCCTGCTGCCCCGCTGAGCAGGACGTACTGTTTGCATACCTCTTGGCTGGGTGGAGGACTACACATGCCTGGCAGAGAAGGAGAGGATGGGAGGTAGGGAAGAGAGAGTGGTAAGGGGTTGAGCGAGGGGTCTGAAGGGTAGAAGGGAAGAGCTCTGGAAGGCTGGACTGAAAGAGATGGGCTTAAGGAGAGAGTGAGAGAGGAACTTCAAGAGGGTCCCTTCCCTTATAAGATTTACTGAGGGAGTATGAGATGGTTGTATTAGTAATTAAAAGCACATGGTATTTGCATGGCATTTAAAATAAATAAATAAATGAATGAATGAATAAACAAACAAAAATAAATAAATAAATAAATAAATAAAAATAATCAATATTATTTAATATTTATTTAATTATTTTATAAAAAATAATAAATACATTTAAACTGTTAGTTTATATAAATAGAATGAATAAAATAACATTATTTGATATTATTTTAAATTTTAAAATAAAACTTTATTACATAAAATAATAAATATATTATAACCTCATAAAAAATGATTTAACTAATTAATGAACTGTTTGATTAATTTAAAATGAATTCATTTTTTAGCCAATTTATATTTGTCTACAAAATTAAATGCAAGCATTTAAGCCTAGGATTTCAGATGAAAAGCTTTTTAAGATCAAGAGAAACCAGTTCAGTCAAGTGTGTCCAAACATTTGACTATGTATGAGCTTACAAACAACTCAAAATCAAAATGTAGACGCCGATTTAGAACCAGAAGTAGGTAATATAATACTAGATGAAGGTGTGTGTGAGCATAAGCAATCTTGGAAAGAGGCAAAAGTGAGGCAGTCCAACATATGAAGCACTGTGAAAGACAAACTAAAATCAAAAAAATAATAAAAATAAAAATATATATATATATATATATATATATCGAACAAACAAAAAAAGCCATACTTTTAAGTGGTACTAAATATAAGTTACAAATAATTTTGTTTAATAATGGCAACCATAAACACCTATCTACAGTCTATGCCATTAAGGACTGCCAAGAAATCGGGGACTGCTTCTCATTTAAATACTTCATACAAAACATGACATCTTGAATTACCCTTAAACAAGTTAAATGAGTAAAAAGAGTTTTAATTTAACCTGGACTCTGTACCATGAACTTTTTTCCAGATAAGTGGACAACAGGATCAAACTGCAAACGGACAATCTTGCTGGCTAAAAAGTCATTACATTATGTACATGGCCTCAGGTGTAAACAAATGATTCCATTATCTGCTTGATAAAAAAGTAATTGCGTTTTTTGTATGAATGGAATTGTGTTGTTCATAGTTTTCATAATACGCTCAAAGCAATCCTCAGTTATAATAGCATGTACTCACACACTGGGTGACTTCCATTTGAAAGTGAGCATCACTTGGGCAGAGCACTTGAAGTGAGCTCTCTGAAGGGTGCAGTGCATATAACTGTCCAGACGGATTGATTTGCGTCAAATATACACAATCCAATCGTTCAAAAGTTTGACGTCAGCATAAAAATAAATAAATAAAAAATAAGGTAACACTTTATTTTACTAACTATAAATAACTTTGCAACTACCATTGCTTTGTCAACTACCAGTCATTCATTAGACAAATTATTATTGTCTGCTCAATATCGGCAAACACTTTATTTTGATGGCACCCTAACAGACATTCTACTGACTATAAGTAACTTTGCAAGTACACGTCAATTTATTCTACTAACCCTAACCAGCCTGGTCTCATGTTTATACGCAGGTATTAATACGTAACATTTACAAGCACAAAACTCATAAGGATTCATTTTTAGGTGTCGTCAATACGTCAGTTTTGTAGTTTAAATGCTGAAAACACATCAGTATTTGTACGTTTAGAGGCTGAAAATACGTCAGTATTGTACGTTTTATAGCCTGTAAAAACGTAAGTAAATGTACGTTTTATAGAACCACATTTTACGTAAAATACATACAAATTATCATGAGATCACGTTGCCCTAACCTAACAGTCTACTAATACTCTAATGAGAGTTGGCATGTAGTTGCAAAGTTACTAACAGTAATTACAGTTTCCATAAAAATATTAAGCAGCACAACTGTTTTCATCATTGATAATAATAATAAATGTTTCTTGAGGACCAAATTAGCATATTAGAATGATTTCTGAAACTGAAGACTGAAGTAATGGCTGCTGAAAAATCAGCTTTACCATGACAGGAATAAATTACATTTTAAATAGGGCTGTCAATAGATAAAAAATTTTAATCTAATTAATCACACCCTTTTTCTGTGATTAATCGCACACTTCATGAAATTAAGCATAGACCATTTATCTTGTTTCAAATGTTTATTTTGTCATAATTTGCTATATCCAGCAAAGTAAACCAAAAGATTGAAGGGTGATTCTCAAAAATCTGTATTTTCTGCAAGCTTTTTTCAAGATAAATTTAGACGTCTTTCCAAAAAAGGACACTTAGAAACTCCAAAACGACACCAAAGAACCAAATGATATAACAAGGAGCCCATATAAGCACATATGAAAGAAAAAATAAATCAGAATTTTATAGTATGTTTACAGTGCAACAGCAAAGAGCTTTTTTACATTTTTTTTTACAGAGAAGTCAAGTTGCGATACCGAACAGGACCACATGGAGATGCCAAAAACCCGTAAACCAACCGCCTGCTGACTGCATTTATCTAATACCGTACATGGATCCATTCAGAATAACTAAACACAGCAACATAAACATGACAAATCAAAACATTATCGTGAATGTGTGTGGAAACAACGTGAATGTACGGAAATGTCTGTGCTGCGCATAAATACAATGTCTGATCAGTGCGTCAAGAGCACTCATACACGTATGTTATTATAACGGACTCATGTGTGCTTACTGTACGACTCCTGTACGCCACCGCAATCGCCTTAACCGTGATTCCAGTCTTCATCTATCAAAACTTTACTAGAGAGACACTGGTTATCCAGTAGTTTGCGTCTCATCTGGCCATACAGCAGTGGGATGTGTTGACAATCTGTCTGTACTTCACACAAGCGCGCGACATGAGAGGGCTCGCGCTCTTCAGAGACAATCACAGAATATGACAGATCTTGTGTTTTAAAGCCAAACACACTAGAATGAATAATTCACTGAAAATGCAACGTGAGTCTCTGCTCTGCAATCTCTGATGTAATCAGCCTGGTTTCCTTCATATTAGCGCTGTTTTGGACGGATTGTTTGAATGCATTCTCTTACTGGATCATTGGACTGAAATCTTTCCTGGAGTTTAGCAGCTTAAAATGATCTGATCGCAAGCAGAGAAGCAAAATTGGGTTAAAGGGTTAGAATAGAAATTGTGCTACAGTAATTTTGCGTTAATTGCGTTAAATTATTTTAACGCGTTAAGGATTGTAAAATGAATCGCATGCGTTAACACATTAACGCGGACAGCCCTAATTTTTAAATATATTAAAATAGAAAAGAGTTGTTTTTACTGTATTTTTAACCAAAGAAATGCAGCCTTAGTGAACAGACTTCTTTCAAAGACATTTTAAAAAACTTGCCGACCCCAAACTTTTGAATGGCAGTCTTTAAAATGTATTTTGTAAGTATGACTTTTTTAAAAATGATTTTAAAGGCTTTTGTGTTTGCCACTTGGTAAAAATAAAGATAAAAATGTAAATATGTAAGGAATATTTCCCGCTGATAAAGTCTGAGTAACTGATCACTTTAAAATAAGATAAGTACATTTTTTATATAAACCGTGAGGATGCACCACCAAAGACAACAAGATAGCAAAATCACTTCCTTGAAGTGACTACTTCGTACTTTCATGTAAAGTGACATGTGTCCCCCCAGTTCCCTTCAAGAGTGCAAAAATGGAGTTCACTCACTGACTAAAGAGACCACATGCCCTCACCTGAGATGAGTCACAACCTCATCTATATGGGTGATGTTTAACTTGTGTCTTAAGGACTTGATTTCTTCTTCACAGCTGGAGTGAGACGAGAGGCTGGAGACAGATCTGGAAAAAAAAGTATTATTTAATACTTACTAACCCAATCAATATTGTAAATATTATTCATGTAGAATTACACTCACAGATATATATTTCTGAAACCGACCTGCTGCCAATCTCACTCAGACTTGATGGGAGTCTGGAGGGTGATTTCATTTCACACCAGCTGCCTGGACTCTCCTGTCTCTGTGTGCTACTGCTGCCCAGTGCGTAACTCACCACACTAGGATTGTACTGGGCCATGACCTCCTCTTCATCCCTGAGACACATTTACTGACAGTGAGAATGGCAGAATGGTGAAGGTAGACAGTGCTAGCACAGTTTCACTGTGATCATCTACCATGGTGACTCCTAACCAGGGGTATTTTGCCTTGTTAAACCTATAAAACAGAAACTTTGACGTAATTGGATTTCATTTATAAATAAATGTACTGTTAGGTCTTTCTCAAGAGACGCGTGAAAGGCAAAATAGCTCAGGTGTCTCATTAAATAGAGAAGCTATTTGGAGAGTCACTTTCTTCACAGTATGTTTTTTTAAGAGTGCACTAAAACTGAACAAAGATGCTGAATTATAGCCAGAATAATATCAATTAAGAGGAACACATTTCTGGTTTGGTGTCAATGATCGGGTACTTAAGCCTTATTGATGGAACTACAAGGGTCCCTGTAGCTATATGTGCCTTCAACACATAAAGTTGGGACACACTGATTTAGCATGCTGGTTTTACTTACTTCAAAGAGTTCAGAATTTCTTGGAAGACACAACATTATTTATTCAAGACCCCATAGGTCAATTCAAAACACAGCTGTTGTTGTACAGTGGAGAAAATCAGGCAATTAATACCACGTAATAAACTTTGGCCTCTGGCACTTAAAAAGAACTGCACTACAATAAATAGAACAAGTGAAAGTACTCTATTATAAGAAAATAGTTTTGGGTAAAATGCCTAAAGGAATAATAGATGAAGACAAATACACTATTCTTTGAAGTTTGGGTTGCTATTTGATCAAAAACACAGTAAAAACTGCAACACTGTGAAATAGTATTACAATTTTAAATAACTGTTTTCTGTTTTATCATTCTAATCATTCTAATATGCTGGTTTGGTCCTCAAGAAATATTTCGTATTATCAATGTTGAAAACAGTTGTGCTTTTTAAAACATTTGATATTTTGTGAACAGCATTTATAAGAATTTCTTCTAATAAATGTATTAGTTGTCTCATTTGATCAATTTAATGTGTCTTTGCTAAATAATATGAAATTAAATTATTTAGACTTATTATTGTACAGATTCTTGCTTTGGCTAGAGTATTTATGAACTGATATATACATGCATGTTAGCATTGTGTGTGTGTGTG